TTTCATATCTCATTGGACTTAGCTGAAAATAACTGTCACTCTGAAAAAAATGATCCTTGTCCTGGAGTGTTAACTTGAAGCAGCCTGTAAAAAAAATACTAATTATCGACAGGAGATGAGCATGTTTTAAGAATTCATTTGCATCCTGAATGTATGTATTTTTTTACAGGACCGCAGGAAGGTGTTTATAAGGCAATGTAGTAGTAAATATCAGAAGCCACACCAATCATTCGAAATAGGAAATCCATGATATTTACTGGCAGATAACATTGCACATATTTCTTTGCTTTATCCTATGCCTGGCTCTAAAGTTAGGCAAACATTGCACTATTTTGTATGGAATATAAAGAGGTTCCGCCGGGATCAATTTCTAATAACTGCTGTTGATGACAGAGCACTGGATGAAACGATAAAGCTCCCTGTCTTCTTTGTTTAATAAAGCTTATACTTTACAAAATGTCACATTTCCGTAATAATATATTTGGATACAGATGAGTATCTAGATTGATAGGGGTATATTAAGAATGTTAAGAGGAGGAAAGCCAAGCCAGTTTTAGCGCTACTATTCTATCGGGAGAAAGACTTGGCAGGTCTCTTAACAGCACAATGCAGATACCTTTTTTTATGGTCCAAGGTATGCAAAAAATGCCAAATTATTTTTTTCTTTATAGTGGAACCAGTTTCTAATCTAAATGCTACAAAGTACAAGATAGAACTTTAGCGATTCAGTGCAATTAAAAATCAGAGGCGTCAATGGGGTCTCTTTAACGATGAGCTTGAGCTATTTAACCCCAATGTACTGGATGACATTTAAGGCCCGTGTTGACAGGCTTTATGAGTTTGTGTTGATGGTCTAATAAAGAGGGCTTTCAGGTGCATTTCTCTTGCATTTGACATCAGATTGAGATGTTTCGGAGATCATAGTTCATGGAAAGGGGCATATTTTACCTGCATTTGAGCTCCCAGTCAGCTTCTCTCTTTCATTTTCAAATCTTACCTGAGCAAACTGTAGAGAGATGCTGATTGGTTACTATGAGCAACTGCTCCAGATTCTGATTGCTCCAGTTTTGATAAATTCACCCTTGTGTATTTGCAAGCCTACAGGGACATGGCTTTCTATTAGGGCCTACACCATGCATGCACAGTACTGCATGGCCCCACCAGATTGTAAAAAGACAGGGGTGCCAACTGGCCGTACATTGGGTTGTCTGGTGGGATAGGGGTGCAAATAGTAATGGGAGGCAGAGGGGGGACTCTGAACCCCAAAGCCGAACTTCCCCAGCACTTGGTTCTAAAAGCTAATGAACCATATTTTTGGTTGTTGGCAAAATGAGTTGCAGGCGGATTCCCAAGTATAACACAACCCCACCAGCTGGGAAGAAGGTGGGGCACCACCCGGCTCTGCATCAAGTCGCCTACTGATGTGAGGTACATACAATAGGTGTCTAAGTAGTAATAGGGGGGCAGAGGGTGACTCTGAAACCCAAGCCAAACTTGACCAGCTTTGGGTTCTAAAAGCTAAGGTATCATTTATATGGTTGTTGGCAAGATGAATAGCAGGCTGGTTCCCAAGAACTGCCACTGCAATTACAAAGTTACATTTTGGTGTCACACTCCCCTAAAATATTCGACAGAATGGAGAAAAAATAAATGAATTTGGCTGAAAGGCAGGGAAAAGTATAACAAGGCCTGGTGGGAGACACAAACTACTGCAGAAAAATATCTCCACTGGGGTCTCTGGAATGTAGAAGGAAGAGTTGGCCTTTAAGAAACAGCTGTGAGAAATCATTACTTATTGAAGCACAAGCAAAACACAACTGCACCAGCTGGTAAGAAGATGTGACGCCACCTGGATCTACATGAGGTTGCCTACTGAAGTGAAGTACATACAATAGGTGTGCAAATAGTAATAGAGGGCAAAGGGGGACTCTGAACCCCAAGCCAAACTTTACCAGCATTGGGTTCTAAAAATCTAATGTATGTTATACTGTATATGGTAACTGGCAATATGAACTGCAGGCTAATTGTAAATAGTAATGGGGGTGAGAGGGGGGACTCTGAACCCCAACGGCATGCTCTACCAGTGCTGGCTCCTAAAAGCTTATGTACCATATTAATGGTTATTGGCAAGATGAATCGCAGGCTGACTCCCAAGTACTGTACTTGGAAGAAGATGGAGAGCCACCTGGCTTTGCATTGGGTCCACTGCTGATGTGAGGTACAAACAATGGGGGTGTACATAGTAATATGGAGCAGAGGGGGGCACTGAGCCCCAACAGCATACTGTATTAGCATTGGGTCCTACAGCTAATGTACCATATTAATGATTGCTTGCAGGATGAATAGCAGGTTGATTCCGAAGTACGGCATGTCCCAACCAGCTTGGAAGAAGATGGGGAGCCACCTGGCTTTCTACCAGGTTACCTGCTGATGTGATGTATGTACAATAGGGGTGTAAATAGCTACATTTTGGTGTCACACTTCCCTGATATATTCTCCAGAATGGAGAACAAACAATTAAATGATTTCAGCTGAAAGACAGGAACAAATATAACAAGGCCTTGTAGGAGACGAAAACAATTGGAGACAAATCTCTCCACGAGGGTCTGTAGATTGTAGAAGGAAGAGATGAGCTTAAGGAAACAGCTGTGAGAGACTGTTATCTATTGAAGCACACAGACACAAGAACCCCTATGTAAAGGCATTAAAACACCCATTTTATAGGGAAAGCGTAACTAAACCAAAACATAAGAGAAAGGCCGTGAAAACAATCTCTTCATTGTACATAAGAGTGGTGACAAGGTTATTACACCTGAAAATAACAAAAATGAGATTTGAAGTTTGCGCCGATTTTATTCCAGGCAAACACGAGAAGATGTCATGGTTTGTTTAGCCGGTTAAGCAGTGTCAAAGTGCACGCCTGTCAGCCCGTCTCAGTGACAGATATCAATGCTTTAACTAAGAGGAGATGGGGAAGGAAGGTTTTAAATGGATTTCTTCCTGCCTGTCACATCTAACACCAGCAGAAACCCGGCAGTCTGCGCTGAAATTTCCATCTGCAATATATTATACGCGGGCAGCCAAAATTGCTGCACACTGGATGGATGCAAAGCTGTATTTCTCGATGAGATGAGAAACAACGCCATCCATTGCCATGGATACAATGTGCTAGCCGTAAATTCGGGGGGTGCACAGAACCTGCGCTGAGCGAGAGAGCAATTTTCAAGTAACGTTTTGATACAGTGTACAGTGTGAAAAGCCATCAAAATCATAAATGAAGAAAAGAGTTATAAAAAGAAGCAAATTGCACTAAAAATGCTTTCAAGAGATGCAGATGGACAATTCTATCAGCTGAGATGGATTTGATTTGAAGGTGAACATGACAACACATAAATAACGCACAGTATGTAAGAGGAAGTCCAGAAAATAAAAGGTTTTCAGGCAGTTATAGGGGCTAGTGGTTACCTGCAAAGTGTTTTTTTTTTATGTTCAGCCACTACATCAGTGCTCCTCGTGCAAAATGGCCACTCTACCCTGAAAACTGACATGGCACAGGGGGTAGTGTTAATGCATTTAGTATAAGGACCTCACTTATTGTGACCCTGACCTAGGGAAAAAAATAACAGCTATCACATATAAAATTCAGGCATCTCTACTGCAAAAATCTCGTTGCAAAATCCTGCACCATTCTAATCAGCAAAGCTTGGGCATTTCCATGCAGACTAAAGCAATGAAAAGCCAGGATTGTAAGTTAAACCAGATGAGGTTCAGTGCTGTCAATCTACCAAAGAGCGCTTGCCTACAGGACAAGGGATCACAAGGGTGTCCTTATCAGCATACTGCTGCTTCTTCTTCAATATCCAATCAACAAACTAGCAGCAAGCAGGTGACTAAGCTGTGCTGTTTATTTAAGAGAGAAAAATTTGAGTCTTTAGGGATCGCCTAAAGGCAGTCAGGGTGGGAGATAGATGGACAGGTTGGTATAAAGAGTTCCAGAGGATGGGAGAGATTCCAGGGAAAGTCCTGGAGGCGAGCATGGGAGGAGATGATAAGGAAGCTGGAAAGCAGGAGGTCTTGGGAGGAGCGGAGGGGATGGTTAGGGTCATATTGGGTTGGATAGTTGTGTTATCAATCTCAAGGGAAATGTTGGGGGAAGGTGCACGGGGGGAATATCATGAGCTCAGTTTTTGAAAGATTAAGATATAAATATACTGTATATACAGTACATATACACACACAACATTGGGCCATCATGAAACATTAATTGGAGCTCTCCCTATAATTTCTTACAGCTTCTTCCAAAAAACACACCAAAAAAAAATGTAAAAGTGCCCCACCCCCACATACACACGCAGTGTCGAGCCAGCCAAACAGCATGGAGCTGGCTTCCTGGGCAATCAAGAAGCAGAGCAGCGGCTAATTTTCCATAAAGCTGGCTCCATGCTAGCGGAAGTAACGGTATTGGTACTTGGTATAGGCCAGTACCAAAATATAAATATCGGTACTCGTGCTCGATAACGAAAAACCAGAATTGGTGCATCCCTAATTATTATAATCATTGTTATTAGGGATGCCCCAATAAGTGACGAGAGAGCATGGAGCCGGCTTCCTGGCCAATCAGGAAGCAGCGCAGTGTGTAATGACGCGCTGCCTGGCTTACCGATACCGGAAGTATTGGGCTAGCCATTGGAGCATTTGGGGCAAGTACGAGTACTCGCCCAAATATTCGGCATCGGCACCGATACTAGTATCGGTGCATTCCTAATTGTTATTATTATACAGGATTTATATCGTGGCAACAGTTTGCACAGCGCTTTACAAAATATTAAGAGATACATGACTATCATTTTTTGGATGTACCCGGAGTACAGATTTTATATCAGTAAAGGGAGGCAGATACGTTATCAGGATTTGTTTACGCAGAAAATAGAAGACAGATATAGCCCAGAGGAGTAGGAGCTCGTTGGTGGATGAATTCTCTAATGATAAAACCAGCTCACCTCAGCGGAGAAAGCATGTCTGGAGCCGTAGAAGGAGCGGCACAACTTCAGAATTTCGGCTGCTGTTTCTTCTCTGTGTTCAGCCTCACAGCCGGAGAGCATTGCCTTTACCAGTTTTACCCAAGGACTATCTTCTAAACGTGCGCTGAAAGATGGAGAGAGAGAGCAAATGTCATCTGTGAAGCTGCAAACATTACGACACGTTGTGGGAATTTGGGGAGACGATAATTTAAAACCCTGTGGCAATCCCTGCAGTGAATGAAAGGTTTAAATCTGCATAAGGGAAGAAGTGACACCTTCTTCTTGAGTAAGACGGATCGCTCCTTCATTTACTGATCACTGGAGGCACCTGATGTGGCCACAGAGTAACATTCACATCAAGGTTTCAGGATTTAATGGAACCACAAATTATACTATGTAGAGAGACCTGCGCCCGATGCATAATGTTACACTTTACTCTTACTAAATATTAACTCTGTGCCTCGGGAAATTAGGCAGTGTTATAAATGGTACAATCTATTTTCAGGCAGCGTCGTCTGTCCTCATGAAGAAATAGTGGACACAAGTTTGGACCCATTCAGTAATTGTAGATATGGTACACAAGCTACTAAAAAGGTGCCTGTTTGTTCCTTTCATGCATCTCTACACGCAAGAACAAACATTTTATATATTGAAGCTTACCAGTTCTTAGATGTGGTGGCTGCATTGTTTTTCTCATTTCAGGCTTTTTTTCCCCTTTACTTTCACCTGGTGATCCAGCCAGTAGCACACTTCCTGTCCCAGGGTATCAACGCTCACTCATGCACTGTATCTATGGCAGAGCAGCGCCAACCTAGGATAGGAAGTGTTAGGAATACAGAACACCACCACCTCTTTTCTATAACATAAGAAGCAGGTTTTCTGCAATCCATAGAGCTAGCTCAGAAAAATGCTATCTGATTACAGAGAGGTTTTAAGCTCACAGGATTTCTTACAGGATCAACAGGCATTTTTTGCAAACATTGAACAGATACAAACATTTTATTTTCAATATTTAACTCGGAACTACAACCTCCACCCCATAAGATGGCACCTTCTCCTAAACCAAGGACAGAGCCATCTTAGGCTGGGTTCACACCTAGGCGGATTGAATATGCATGATTTTCGCACGTTTTTTTACCGCGATACGCGGTAAAAAAACGCGCGAAAAACTTGCGTTTCCGAGGGATACTTGGCTGTATCCCAATGGAACCGCCCGACCAAAACGCCCCAAAGAAGTACGTGTACTTCTTTGGGCGTAGGGCGGTTTCCCGCACGTTCGTACTCGCGGAAAACTGCCCAGATGGGAACCATGCACATTGAAAATAATGGCATTTCCCTGTTTGAGCGTTTTTCCGCGAGTACGAAAGCGCGGAAAAACGCCTAGGTGACTTGATTTGGAAACTGATTTGGAAGACAGTTAAATTAGTGGGTAAAATCCTCTTTAATGTCAGGGGCTCTAATGTTAATGCTTAAAGGAGAACTATGAGGTGACTGATTTACACTCTTCCTCATAGTTAGAGCCGACGGGTCACATTGAAACTGTCACATGTCCGCACTATAGATTCGGAGGTGAGAAGGGAAAAAACACATACTGTCACTCGCTCACTTCCCGATCCTCTCCCTGCAGAGTGGTGACTGTCAGTCAGCGCTCCCCGCACGGATTCCCCCCTCCCCTCTCTGATCCTCCAGCGCTGAATGGAGGAACCGACAAAGGAGGGGGCGGGCACAGCTGGCTTTGCCTCTAGATAGCCGTTGTCAATCAACCAGCTGGGTGGATCCCGACAGTAATGTCGGGATCCGTCCCGGCTTCCGCGCTCTCAGTATATAGCGGGCAATAGCCCGCTATATACTGAGCTTTGGGTCACGGGAGGATGTTAGTATATGTCCTTCCGTGACCCTGATGAGAATTATGGGGAAAAAAAGGTTACCCCATAGTTTCCTTTTAATGAAGGGGCTGTAATTTCCCAAACTGTTTAAAAAAATGCAACATAATTTGGCAACCTGGAGGTATTCTGTACACCACTGATGTATGGAACAGAAATGTAATTTCCTGCTTCTGTGAATGGCTCACAGGTTTTCTCAGAAGTCCGCACAAGATGCAAGTAAAATTTTAGGCATCCCCTACAATAGAAATACTGTATATTCCGTAAGGACTAACTACTCCTAAAGGGATGCCGGCAATGAAACTTTCCTCATTGGAACATTGAGAGTGCACAAGGTGGTTAGAATGAACCCGTTCATTCCCATTCCCATTCAGAAATCAGCTTTCAAAGGATATGGTGAAACAAGCAGATTTTACTTCAGGAAAAGGTCAGAATCTGCAACAATGTTTTTTAAAACCCCTAATTGTACATTGATCACCCAGAGGGGACTATGATTTTCTTAACAAAAGTAAAGTTACTCTTTGATGTTATATTAATGTTATATTGGAACATTGGAATGGGGTTCTACAAGAAAAAAAAGAATTTTTAGGCTTTCATGGCATCTTGTAGTTTTGGGGGGTCATTCACAAAGCTGCCGAAGGCAGCCGAGTGAATAGCCCAGCCGAAGTGAACAGAGATGAACGACGTCCGGCTATTCACTCCAGCTCAGTACGGCTGATTTCAGCAGAGGGACTTTGATTCAGCCAATCCAATCCAACATCTGGATCAGCTGAGCCAAAGCTCCGACAGCTCAATTGCTGCCTTTCACCGTGCAGCATTCGGGTCGGCTATTCTGCTTGTTACCTCAGAGGTAACGAGCAGAATAGAAAAGAAGTGAAAAGAATGAAGAAAAAAAGTTGAAAAATTATTTTAAAAATGATAAAAAATAGGAAAGTAAAAAAAATAATATTTTAAAGAAAAAAAAAGCTAGTCCCGCCCAACTGTTACCTATTGGTCAGCACATGCCAGAGTCTTCCAGCAGGTCCTGGCCAATGAATGACAACTGATGTCACGGCCAGCTCCGCCCAGTTGTGATTGTTTAATGACAGATCAGCATCCCCAGGTCATTTGGGGACTGTGATCTGTCATTATAACTGGGCGGAGCGAGCCATGAGATCACGGCTCGCTCCACCCAGCTGTCATTTGCGTGGAGAAAGAACGGCTTCGGCCGACCGTTCTCCAGGCTTCGGGTGTCACTACGGCTCAGCCGAGCCGAAGCAGATGCGTTCGGCCCGGCTGAGCTGCTCGGCATCCTTCGGCTGCTGTACGGGCTATTGTGAATAGCCCGTACAGCAGCCCTTCGGTTCGACTGAACCAAAGGGCAGAGGCGGCCGATGAGAGCCGAAGGATCAGCCGAAGCTACGGCTGGATCCTTCGGCTCTTTAGTGAATAACCCCCTTAGTGTTAAAATAAAGACATCTTAATTCTTTTTCCTATAAGTCCATTTCATTATAAGAGAGCCAGAATGAAATATCTTTATATAAGAGCTGACCTAAAGGTGAGAAGACCTTGGTGTACAATTTTATCTGTTCCATTGCACAATGATCCCATCCTGCCTGGTAATTAACAAAGTCTAGACTGAAATAACAGAAAGAAAAGTCATCCTGACAGCAGAAAGAAAGCTGTAATCACTGCGGTACTCACAGACCTCAGATCTCAGGTGTAGAAGAGATCTGACTAATTTCATTCCAAACAGTAACAACTGACAATAACGGATTATGTTGGATCAACTAATGGAAAATAATAAAGACAATTACCAAGCTCCACATCACACAGGGAACGCTGAAATCTTTCAGAAATAAATACATTCAAATTAATAATGGAATACCCGGCAACAAAGGCGGCAGTAAATATGGCACTTTGGAATGAAACTGGAGATGGAATGAGGAGGATGGAGGTTAGCGACCTTGAAATGGAACTGGCTGGAGGTCATAAATTACAACACTAAAGAGAACACGAGCACATAGAGCAGAAAAGTGAAGTCTGTATATAAAAAAAGAAACTACCTCTATAAATGTAACACTGTTCACTTGTAACTAAGCCAACATAAAAAAAAGTAAAAATATATTGTGCTTATATAATAACAAGGAATAAAAATGTTTATATACCAACAAAGGCAAGATTAGGAATTAATCTGCATACATACCGGTAAGTGTTAAGTACAACATTTAGGGGTTGGTTAAGTTTTGGGGTCTGAAGAAGATAAATGTCAAGGGTCAGATTAAGAGTTGGGTTTAGAGTTACGTGTTAGGGGTTCATTGTAGAGTTTAGGTTAGAGGTGTTCAGGTAGAGGAAGGTGGTTTCCTGTAGGGCAATCTGACTTTAGGGAAGGCCGAAATCGCTCCATTTATTCTTGGCACTGGGAACCCTGAGCAAGAACTACCAGCACCCAGAACACGTATTAAAAATATGCCCTTGGTATTCTTCTCTTAATATAAGCTTAAGATGGACTTTAATAATGGTTTTATTCAATGTCCTTCATCATAATTTTTTCTTTCAAGAAACAGAACATAGGTCTATTTTACCAATTACCAACCTGTCAGGAGTTCTGCTACTGGTAAGAGTGGACTCAAGTTGGTCTATGCCCCCTGGACAACTTTTAGCATGCTACCCCAGCACTACCAAATTCTGTAGCTGCACAATGCTACAAACCCTTATACCACTAACACATACACTCTACACCCGTTGAGGGTTTTCTCGTATCACTTACAGAAGGAATGAGATATGATAATGAAAAAAAGAGAACTTTGGAGCACTAGGCTGCAACCTGGGTAGCTCTTCCAAATCTGGACCTGAATTAATTTTCAGCACTTTGCCATGGTAAGCCTTCAAAAAATCTGTCCGTTTTTTAATGAATTATAGTAGACCTTTACCCAAATAGTAGACCTTAAAGTATATGTTTAGTCAAATGTTAATAAAAAGATGTGTAAAGAGAATTTTGCTGGACCATCCTAGCAAGACTATGTGCATACAGTACCTGGCCAAAAAAAAAATGGTCACACACTCGTTGACTTACAATATTCAGTTGGACCACCTTTAGCATTGATTACATCACACATTCGGCATGGTATCATTCCGATAAGCCAATGCAATGTCACAATATTTATTTTCATCCAGAGTTGCAATACATTTTCACCAAGATCTTGTAGTGATGATGGGAGAGTCGGGCCACTGTGTAAAGTCTTCTG